TGTCGAAGAAGTATTCGAATACTTTTCGGGCAGTATTCGAATACTTTTCTGGGAAAATGCAGTAATCGAATACTTCGCGAGACAGCAGCGACCTAATTTAGTAAAATTGTGATATCTTGAGCTACAGAGCTCTAAATTGAGTGAGGTTTAGACCTATGTAAAGCTAACATTGGATAAGTGGATTTCTCTCAGTGTATGTTTGAAGTCGAGACCCTATTGCTGGAAATTCAGCTTGTTGTAGGAACTTTGCAAAAATCATAATCGGAGTTATACAACTCTGATTGAGACATAAGATATGTCGTTGGAAAGCTTGAGATGTCTAGTTTAACATAGTAAAATCTTAGAGTATTTGATAAAGATTTGCAACGGTTGTTTTAATCTGGTAGTCGAATACCCCTTGCAAGAGTATTGGAATACTTTTCTGGGAAGAAAAGTATTCGGATACCTTTGAAGAAGTATTCGAATACTGGAAAGTATTCGAATATAGTGGGGTTTGGTATTCGAATACTGTGGTATTCGGATACTGGGGCGAAAGTATTCAGATACTTGGTAGTATTCGAATACTTAAATGAAAGTAATCGAATACTTTCTGGAGAGCTGGAGTATTCGAATACTAATCGAGGAGTATTCGAATACCTCCTGTAGAAACAACATAAAATGAGTAAAAAAGACTTCATCACTTAATGTAACCTTGAGTAATGGTTATTAATGATGAATTACTATATAAACAGATTGTGATTGAGCTGTGTTGTGGGCTTTGAGCTTGTGTGGACTCTTGGCTTGGATAGTTAGCTTGCAAGGTAAGCTTTCGTGTCATCGGTTTAGCCATTGTTGGTTCCACCATTTCCCATGGGGGGATGGTTTATATGCATGATGTGGTTTTCATGTATTGTTTATTGAAATGCTATGGAGCTGTTAAGTGCAATTGCTGTGTGATATTTATGTAGTGTTTGACTTAAAGGGAAGCCATGAGGTAGTCCTTTGGGGTGTGTGCAGCATGGGCTGATACAACATGGGCTGGTATTGTGTGGGTAATAGACGTATTCCTGCACTTCTCTGATCAGTAGAATTGTTAGAACACACATGATATGATTATCTGCTGCATTGCACTATTTTGGAACTTATATTGAATAAATGCTTTTGAACTTATATTTGCACATGTAAGTGAGCTTGGGGAGGAAGATCCTTGAGGACCCCTTGTCTTACTGAGATTTCTTTTTAGAGATCTCACCCCACGTTTGGGGCACCATTTTCAAGTTCAGGTAATGCGGGGGTTGAGACCTCTGTTGGCAGGAGGCCGAAGCTTAGCTGATATTGCTGTTTATTTGCTGACATGTTTGGATGCTGGATTATATCTGTTGATGCTATGCTAATAGCTTGTTATTATTATGTTGCTGTTGTTGAGACTATGTTCGGCTGTGTTGCCTTATTTGGTGAGCATGGGGATTGTCCATGCCACATTGATTGACTATATCTTAGTTTAGATTTGAGCTGTAATAATGTATCAGGATTATGTCCGGACTACATGTTGTAGTTCCGTGATTTTAGATACTCACTGTTACTTATTTTATGAGGTATTTCAGTTAGTTGTCTCTTGCAAATTTGATAGCGACACGACAAGTGCACTGATCGTGAAAGTAATAAAGTGTACCGGAGTACGAGATCGTTCCTACGAGGATCAAAATTTCAAGCACTAGTTCACTAATTGCGTTTTAGTTGAACGATCAAAGGTTGGGTTTGAGAGAATAGTGAATTTAGATGAAGAAAATTGTGGTTCAAAGAACCTAAATTTAAAAACAATGCAAGTATGAAATTCTAGAATTAAAAGAATGAATGAGATGATGTTTGATTAAGATTTAAAGAATAGCGTAGTTAAGGTTTCGACTTCCCCCAATATCCTCAATATGTTATGAATTAAAAAGCCAAGAATTCGTTTCTTAATATATTGCCAATCAATTCTATCTAAGCTAATTAGGGCTCAATTCCTTGTTACCCTAAATCTATGCGATCTTGAAAGAACTCTAGTTCCCCGATTATTCCCCAAGAAAACATGCATTAAGATCAAGAATTTCAAGATTGCATAATTACCTTATGTCTATTCCTATTCCTATTCCTAGATCACAAGGATTATGATAAATTATCAAGTCAAGGTTCATGCACCAACATCCCTATTGTCATACAATTCCCCAAAATCATTCTATAAGGAAAAAAACTCATAGAAAGCATTAAATACAGATAATTTATTCAATTATAAAAAGAACAGGATTCAGAGACAATTTAATTCATAAACATAAAGATTCAATTGGGTTCCATCTACCCTTAACTACATAAAAAACTACTCTAGCATACTGAAAAGAAAAGAAATAATAAAGAAAAGAGAACCCCAAGCCTCCATTGGTGTGATGTTGACTTGGTTTCTCAGTGTTCCAACGCTCCGCAACAAGATTCCTCCTTCAGTCTTGGTGTAATGCTCTGGAATTGTGTATTGGTTTGTGCTCCCAAGCTCCTTATTTATAACCACAGGAGTTGTATCCATCATCTAATCTTCCAATGAATCCATACAAGATTTGTATTTGATTTCATCTTTGTTTCCTTTTTCATGCAAAACCTTGGAGATTTGGTTGATGAATTAGAGTTTTAGATCTTCGTTGTATCTTGCTTCAATCTTCTCAGAAATCATCTTGATTTGTTTCCGTTTTAGTTCTGGATGTCACAATCTCAAATTTTTATTAAATCTCAGCGGAATCTTGCCAAATCTTGCTGTCTAGTTCGTGTTTGGGCGCTCAAGCGCGATACAGGGCGCTTGAGCACCTTGAATTGCTGAAAATTGCTGGAGTTTCTGCCCATGCGCGCTCAAGCGGCCATTTGGGCGCTTGAGCGTGCTCTTCGAATTGAAATCTTGTCATCTTGGGCGCTTGAGCGTGCTTTGTGCGCTTGAGCGTCCTGGTTTGGACCTTGAATTGTAATATGTTGGTTTCCTTTGATCCATATTAAGCCGCTACTTCTTCGTCATGATTTCTTTAGCACTTTTAGCACCAATTCTTGTGGTTTTACCTTCAAAAATGCAATTATTATCAAAACGTCAGCTCAATTTCCTATCTTATGACTTTTACAACATAAAACCCTAATTTCCATGCAATTCACAACATTTATCAATCAGAATTAAGCCTAAAAACATGGTAAACTAAGGGTTTATCAACCATTCCCAGATTTGAACATTGATGTCCTCAGCAATGCACTAGAATAAACTTTCAGGAAATTAATCAGGACTTTCAATTGCATGGAGCTCATAGGTAGGATTTAATCTGAGACATGATCACAGAGCATTCAGATTCTAAAAATTAACGCATCAATCAACAAAATTCATAATTCATCAGTAAAAATATGCAACAACTTTCTTAAGATAAAGAATAAGGAAAATTTCCCGAAACACTCCCTCACTAGGATTTTAATTCACTCACACTCAACTGTTAGAGGGTTGGTGTTTCACTCTTATTCCACTGTATCAACACTACCATAGGCTTGCTTATATTCTCGGCTCTCCATAGTTCTTAAGATAAATTAAGCAGATCAAGAGGTCTTCAATAGGGTTATAATGTGGCCTGGTTAAGAAAAGATTTTTGGAACTAAGTTCAAGAATTAAATTCAGATTCTGAAGGAAGGAGTAAGTGTAATTTGTTTCGTACATTTGTACATTTTTCTTCTTCTTCCTTTAGAACTTTTACTCTTTTGACGTTTTCTTTCCAAGAACTTTTTGCTTTTTTCACTTCTTCTCCTTTCTTTTCTTTGAGCTTTTTTCTTGCTCTTCTTTGTTCTAACCAACTTTTCTTTCTTGGGCTTTGCCCTTTTCTGCTTGTACTTCTAGACATCACAACCTTGCAACCATAACTTGTATCCACTCCTTACTTCAAATCTGAAATTATTCTTCTATTAAGGTGAGGATTTATTTGGGGAAGTGGCTTTTCACATTCAAGGGTTTTTCATGAATAAAAAGTCTAGGCTCAAGGGAGCTTAACTAAGGAATATCAATAAAGGTTAGTTTTTTGGCCATTTAGTTAGAGAAAGAACATGCCTCTATCATTTCTACGAAATATATCACAAACCATTTCAATCAAGAAACAAAGCAAGTTCTAGAGTATCTCAACAGTAGAATGCACACTCAATAAAAATTTTCTGTATAGGCTCAAAACCTCACGGCTATGAATGCACAGTAATTCCCCTATTCTTTATCTTAAAAAAATCAATCACTAAAGAGAGAATATTCAATGAATCATGAAAATCATTACATTGATGCTCATTAAAAAATTGTATAAGTGCATCATCATGCTCTGAATCAATTACTAATTTCAATTTCCAGCCATTTTTCCAATTAACACTGAGAAACTTTTAAATTTTTCAGAATTTTCACAAAAAAATTTGGCTTGGGGTTTTTCAACAAAAAAAATTAAAATTATCTAATTAAACATGAAAAACAAAATTTAAAATGCAAGAAAAATAAATAAATAAGCTAAAGCAAAAGAGAAGGGATTTGAGATAGTTCCCTGTTCTAGCCGGATATTCTGTGTATGCTCATGAAGTTCATCCGGCTTATTCAATTGTGGTTAGATGAATTGCGCGTTCCCCATTCCAAGATTTAAATGTTGTTGTCCTCAGCAACAAATTTAAATCTAAAAAGAAATTGTGTCGAGAATTAAGAACAACTAGTTGCTCTCTTGTTGTTTGTTCCCTTTTCTTCACCTGTAAAATTCACTCAATGACAGTCATTAGTCTCAACACCTTCTCCTATATTTTTGTATTTTTCTTTTTATTTAATTCAAAGTAAAAATAAATAAAATAATGAAAATAAAACAGTAAAGTGTGGGTTTGCCTACCCATTAGCGCTTGTTTTACGTCACGAGCCTGACGTACCTGATTTACTTTCATGGTGGCTCAAAGTATGATCTTGGTGATAACCAAGCTCCATCATCCATAAATTGTGTCCTACCGTAGTGTTCTTCTGCTTATGGATGAGGTAAAGTAGTCTCAGGAACTTTGAACTTGACTTTTACATGCTTTCCTTTGCTACTGGGCTTCTCCATCTTAACTTTTGGCTTACTTTCTCGAGAAGACTCCTCATTATGTTCTTCTTCACCTTTCTTTACACCAATGTAGTAGACTTGATCTTCCGGTTGAGCTATAGATGAGGGGACTTCTTTGTCAAAGAACTTGAAAGTTACTTGCTCTCTGTCTACCCGTAATATCAGCTCGCCTTTTAGCACATCAATCAGTGCTCCTGAAGTTGCCAAGAAGGGTCTTCCAAAAATCATAGGAATGCAAGCATCTTCTTCAATGTCAAGGATGACAAAATTGACAAGAATGATGAATTTTTCTACCTTAACCAATATGTCCTCAATGATACCATAAGCTTGCTTTGAAGAGCGGTCAGCCAGTTGCACTATCGTCTTTGTGGGCTTCACTTCGGTTATCCCCATCTTTTCCATCATGGAGAGTGGCATGACATTGATGGTAGCTCTAAGATCACATAAAACATTGTCTACTTCCATCTTGCCTATAGTGCATGGAATGCTGAAGCTCCTTGGATCCTTGACTTTGGTAGGTAACTTCTTTTCGCTGATAGCATTACATTCCTCCGTCAGATTTACTGTCTCACATTCCCGCAACTTACGCTTCCTTGATAATAGATCCTTCATGGACCTTGCGTAGTTGGGCATGTTCTCTAAAGCTTCGGCAAAAGGAATGTTGACTTGCAGCTTCTTGAAGATGTCCAGAAATTTGGTGTATTGTTGTTTCTGGACCTCTTGTTTCAACCGCTGAGGGTATGGAACTTTTGCATATGGAGACGGGTCTGCCGCTTTTGGTTGCATGTTCAGAGCTTTCTTTTTATCCCATTTGAACAGCTTCTTCTCTGGAATGCATTTTTCAGCTTCTACTGCATCTTCTTCTTTCTTTTTCTCAACTTCAGGTTCAGCTTCTTTCTTCTTTTCAACTGGTGGCTTTTCCATAGGTTGAATCACTGTCTCACTCCTAGTGGTGATAGCATTGCAATGCTCCCTTGGATTGACAACTGTGTTGCTTGGAAAAGTGCCCTGAGTCCTTTCAGTGAACTGTCTTGACAGCTGACCAATTTGAGTCTCCAAGTTTCGGATCAAAGCTTCTTGATTCCGGAATGAGGCTCTTGTCTCCTCTCTGAAGGAATTTGAATTCTGAATGTAGTCAGAGGTGGTCTTGGACAGCTGTGCAAATGCTTTTTCCCACTCTGATTGTGGAGGTTGTTGTTGTTGTTGCAATGACACAGGAGGATTCAGGTGGTAGTTTGACTTGTAACTCAACCCAGGGTATTGATTATTATTCTTCCACCCTTGATTACTATATTGATTCCTTCCTGGATTGTTCGAGTTCTTTTGATCATACCAGAGTGCATTGACCTCCGCTGGTTGCTTTTCCGTGTTTCTGATGTATTCACAATCCTCAGTTGCATGAGCCTCCTGACAAATATCACATTTAATGTTAGCATTAGAAACAGAAGAAACTTGAGAAATATTAAATTTCTTATTAAGGGCATCTAATTGTTCTTGTTGTTTCTGGTGCATTTGTAGCATTTGTTCATTCTGGGCTAAGAGTGCATCATCGCCTTCAAGCTTCATGATTCTTGAACTTCTGGGTGCAACTGAAGTAGGAACATTGTCAAATTCTTGAGATGCTAATGATTCTAATAGTTCAAGTGCTTCCTCAGGAGTTTTTGTTTTCAATAATCCTCCTGCAGCAACATTCTAAGTATATCAATAAATTAAGTATATCAATGATCCTCCTTGTGCATTTGTAATTTTTTATTTATTTTGCAATAAATTATTTGTTTATCCTAAGTATATCACATAAATAATATTGTATATGAATTGAACTTAATTTATTTATTTAAGGATTCAAATTCGAGGCTAGCTTGTAACTCAGTACCAGTCCTATTTTTATTCTTTAGAATTGTATGTGATGATGATATTAAAGGTTTGGTTTTATTCTGTTAAGTGACCATTACTTAACAAGTTAGTCCCTCGACACTACTTGAAAAGTTCATTTTTTCGACGGAAAAATTCCGTCAAAAATGAAGTTTTCGACGGAATTTTTGACGGAATTCAGACCGTCGAATTTCTCTTCATGGCTAACAACTTTTTCGACGGAATTAGAGATTCCATCGAAATTTTTTGACGGAATTTATTTGCGTCGAAAAATTTCCACGACTACGAAAATTAAGGGGGGAAATTAGAATAGTAACGGTGGGAAATATCATTTCAGAAATATAATTTTGTTTTTATTTATTTTTTTACAAAAAAATTGACGGAATTGAGATTCTGTCGAAAATTCCATAAATCTATTTCTTTTCATTTATTTTTTACAATTTGTGAAATAGACATACAATGTAATCCGGAATGCAATTTGTGAAATAGACATACAATATAATTAAATATTTTTATATTTTAAATATTATTTTTATATTTTAAATATTATTTTTATATTTTAAATATTATTTTTAAATATTATTTTTATCTTTTAAATATTATTTTTAAATATTTTTTTTATCTTTTAAATATTATTTTTAAATATTTTTATCTTTTAAATATTATTTTTAAATATTTTTATATTTCTTATTTGACAGACATTTTTTTTTGAAAAGATTTTTTATGGACTTTAATTTTCATTAAATTGCAGATAAAAACAAAATATTTCCATAAGTTGCTATAGTCAACTCCAAGAGAAATTCCATTGATTTCGTTTAAATTAGTGCAATTTCCATAATTAAATTCACATATCTATGTTTAAAAACTTAGCCAACATAATCTAGGCCATGATTCTTGCTAGCCCATAATTTCCAATATCATGGTCATATGTTCCATTTTTTTTTCATCAATATTATCTCACTCCATATAAATTGTATTTATCATTAAATTCAAGATTGATATTGAATTTATTGACCCAAAATAAAGTGGCATATTCAAACGGCAAAATATGAAGGAATTGGCGTGTGAAAATGCTAATGGTGTATTTTACGCATAGATTTCTAAAAATTGACGAAAGCTCGTATAAATTTTGATGTAGAACAATAATACAACTAAATAATAATAATAAGTAAATAAATAATAAAATAACATTGTAATAAATAAATATTAAAATAATATATATATATATATATATATATATATATATATATATATTAGTATATACTTATGCAGTATAAAATAATAAATTGAACATAAATAAATAAAGGGTTCGCTTTTTCTGCAGTTACCGCAGATAAAATTTATCTGCAGTAAGCGCAATACGACGTTGTTTTGAGGCGAAAATCATGATATTTTGAAATTTTAATTTATTTTAGGGTTATTATAGTCTTTATAATTATAATTTTTTAATATTTCAATCCCAAAACGACGTCGTTTTGGAAGTAAAATATACAATCAAATTTATTTGAGATAAATTAAATATGTATTATCAAAATAAGATATTCCAATACTTTAATAATCTTCCTAAAGATTTGTTTCCTATCAATCTAATTGATTGGTTTCCTTTATTTTCTCCATCTTCAATAAATCAAATTCAAATTTTAAATTCAAAATTAGAATTTAAATTAATTTAATTGATTTAACATTTAAATTAATTAGTTTACATCATGGATCAAGTCCAACTTGACCCACGATGCTACCTACCCTCTCTTGGCCCAATATGTGAGCTTTTCCAACTTAGGCTCATTATGTCTTATTGTTCCCGAACCACATATGCTAGAATTCAAGACAACTTAAGGTGTTTGTGTGCGACCCATCAAGCCCAACATAACCACTGACATAAATGGGCTTGGGCCCTTTAGGCCCAATCTATCTAATGACAGCACAGAGCACTAGCAATGCGTTGTTTTTTCAGAGCTAATTGGGTTCATCGAATGATCAAACTGTTATACCTACATGGGTCCATCTGACTTTCAGATTGTTTCTAGGACACCTATGTACTAACAATGTGAACTTTAGGAGAGAAGATGGAAACTGTGGAGGGAAATGTGAAAAAAAAATATATGGTTTAAAAATTTATTTTATTCATCCGATTTCGACGGAATTCATTTTCCGTCAAAAATCTTCGACGGAATCCATTTTTCCGACGAAAACCTTCACAAATCAATTTCTTTTTCGATTTATTTTATTCATCTGTTTTCGACGGAATTCATTTTCCGTCAAAAATCTTCGACGGAATCCATTTTCCGTCGAAAACCTTCACAAAATCAATTTCTTTTTCAATTTATTTTAAAATAAATACCCTTTTTGGTCCTCAATAAATTTCACAATGCCCTCTTTAGTCCCTAGAAAATAAAAAGGCCCATCGTGGTCGCTAAAAAATTCAAAATGGACCCATTTAGTTAAAATCGAGATCCCTCACAAATTTAAGAAAGACCCATATTAGTCCCCAAAAGGACTAAAATGGGTCCATTTCGAATTTTTTAGGGACCACGATGGGCCTTTTTATTTGCTAGGGACTAAAGCGGGCTTCGTGAAATTTGCTGAGGACCAAATAGGGTATTTACTCTTTATTTTATTCATCTGTTTTCGACGGAATCCATTTTCCGTCGAAAAACTTCACAAAATCAATTTTTTTCCCATTTATTTTATTCATCCGTTTTCGACGGAATTCATTTTCCGTCCAAAAACTTCGACGGAATCCATTTTCCGTCGAAAACCTTCACAAAATTAATTTCTTTTCAAATTATTTTCTTAATCCGTTTTCGACGAAATTCATTTTCCGTCGAATATCTTCGACGAAATCCATTTTCCGTCGAAAACCTTCACAAAATCAATCTCTTTTTCAATTTATTTTATTCATCCGTTTTCGACGGAATTCGTTTTCCGTCAAATTCTTCGACGAAAATCATTTTCCATCGAAAAACTTCACAAAATCAATTTCTTTTCCGATTTATTTTATTCATCTGTTTTCGACGGAATTCATTTCCGTCAAAAATCTTCGACGAAAACCATTTTCCGTCGAAAACCTTCACAAAATCAATTTCTTTTTCAATTTATTTTATTCATCCGTTTTCGACGGAATTCTTTTTCCGTTGAAAACCTTCACAAAATCAATTTCTTTTCCAATTTATTTTATTCATCCATTTTTGACGGAATTTATTTTCCGTCAAAAATCTTCGACGGAATCCATTTTCCGTCGAAAAACTTCTCAAAAACAATTTATTTTCCAATTTATTTTATTCATCCGTTTTCGACTGAATTCATTTTCCGTCAAAAAACTTCGACGAAATCCATTTTCCGTCGAAAAACTTCACAATATCAATTTCTTTTCCAATTTATTTTATCCATCCGTTTTCGACGGAATTCATTTTTCGTCAAAAATATTTTACGGAATCCATTTTCCGTCGAAAACCTTCACAAAAACAATTTTTTTTCCAATTTATTTTATTCATCCGTTTTCGACGGAATTCATTTTTTGTCGAATATCTTCGATGAAATCCATTTTCCGTCGAAAAAGTTTCGACAGAATCAATTTTCTGTCGAAAGTTTTTTACGGAATCTTTTTTCCGTCAAAAAATTCAACGATAAACAACTTCTGTTGAAAATTCCGTCAGTAATTTCTACGGAATTTTTTTCCGTAAAAAATAATGACTTTTCTAGTAGTGCGATAAGGTCTAATTTTATAGAACGATATATTGAAGAATTGAGGTAATTTAATATAATATTTTTTAAAAAATTACATAATACATTAGAACAGAAAACTATGTCCTACATATTTATTTTGTAGTTTTAACCTTACTTATTGTTTTAGAAATAAGAAAACTTACAAAGAAATAATTATATACATTTAGTACAATAGAAAACTAATACTATACATTTATTTTGCAATTTCGACCTTTCTTATTATTTAAGAAATAAAACACTTACAAAGAAAAGGAATTATGAATTTTAGTATAATTAAAGAGAAAAGTTTTTGTCCTTTAAAATGACATAACTTATGTCGTTTCACTCTCACAAAGAGGTGAGACCCACACCTTTATATTTTTTTGTCCACTCTCTCCTCCTTTATCTATCTCTTTCTCTATCTTTGTAACGCTCGGGCACTTCAAGAATCAATGACTATTCCCTCATACTAACACGAGACTTTTCAGTATGTTTTTTCCTCACTCGCATACATCTCGGGAAAACTTCTTAGGAGGTCACCCATCCTGGAATTGCTCCAAGTCAAGTACGCTTAACTGTGGAGTTCTTCCGATCCGGGCTACCGAAAAGCAGATGCATCTTGTTAGCATAGGTAGTACCAATTAATTCTTATAAATTATCCCAAACTGTGCAGTCTCATACCTGCACAGCCTTTGGAATCCCTCTCTTTCGGGTGTCGATTCGATTCATTCATGCATGTAATCCCCCGCTGGAAGCCTGTCAGGAGACGCTCCTTGTCCGTGCCTCTTTGCACCGGCGATCACTCCCCGACCTCGTCAGCGCTCAGGATGTTACAATCTTAAAATGACGTAACTTTACCTCCTTTAAAATGACACACTTTTTCCATAATTAAAATCATAACCACAACGACAATAAAAAATATGATCGGATTCAAAGAATTTTTTTTACGGAAAAATAAACAAAAATACATTAAGTTAATCAATTTGTATAAGTTCACTTGTGTTTAAAATAAAAAATAACTTATTTATCTTAATAAAACGACAGATATTTTCGCGGTAAAAACTACATTTTTTTCTTCTTTTAATAACACTGGACCCTCTTTCGTACAAGGTTTACCAAAATTATTTTTCAACCACCATGAATTTAAAAAGAACAAGCAAACAATGTGCCTCTAAGATTCTTTTACCTAGAGCTTGCATTTTGCTTCGACCAGTACAAGTTGTGCACGTGAAGTACTAACCTAACCGCCTAATAGTCTTGCCCCTGAAATTAAAATGAGAACTACCATTCCTAAATTGCCATGTACCCATCAACTTATTCACCTATTCACTATATATATACATACACACACACACACTTGTATTCTTATATACCTTGCCAGCTTCCATTGTACAACATGACTTTTGATTCATTGTTTCTGAGGGAAATCGGTGTTGCACTTCTCATCTTCAGCATCTCACACCTCATCATTCGCTTACTCCTCAGAAGCAGTTATAAAAATATCCCACCAGGTCCAAAAGGATGGCCAATTCTTGGTGCTCTACCACTATTGGGGACCATGCCTCATGTCACACTCGCAAACATGGCCAAGAAATTTGGACCCATCATGTTCCTCAAAATGGGAACTTGTGACACAGTAGTTATCTCAAGCCCAGATGCAGCCAGAGCATTCCTCAAGACCTTAGACCGTAATTTCTCAAACAGGCCCACTATTGCTGGTTCAACCCATTTGGGGTACAATTCACAAGACCTAGTTTTTGCAGATTATGGGCCTAAATGGAAGCTGCTTAGGAAACTAACCAACTTGCACATGCTTGGGGCGAAGGCTCTTCAGGATTGGGAGCATGTGAGAGAAACTGAGGTAGGACACATGCTGAGAGTTATTCATGAGTTTGGTAAACAAGGGGAACCAATAGAGGTGGGAGATTTGTTGAGTTGTGCAATAACAAATATGGTGAGCCAAGTGGTACTCAGCAACCGCATATTTGCAAACAAAGGGTCAGAGTCTAAGGAGTTTAAGGACATGGTGGTGGAGTTCATGACAATATCTGGGGTTAACATTGGTGATTTTGTACCTTGTATTGCTTGGATGGACTTGCAAGGTGTGGTTGTTAAGATGAAGCGTTTGCATAAGAAGTTTGATGTGTTTTTGACTAAGATGATTGAGAAGCATGTGAAGTCTGCTCATGAGCGTAAGGACAAGCCAGATTTTTTGGATATTGTGATGGCAAATGGTGAAGATCCCTCTGAGGAGAGACTGAGTTTGTCCAACATTAAAGCTCTACTATTGGTACATGTCTCTTTTTTCTCTAGCTTCCACACTTCTCTAGTTTTACTTTTTAATCATCTTCTATTTTAGTGCTGTTGGCATTTGATTTCTTTTATTTTAAATGGGAACTACCCTTAAATGGGTTTGTTTATCTTTGAAGTAAATAAATAGAAGTTTCTACTAAAAATAAATAAAAAAGAGTTTATCACCCTTAAATTTAAAAAGTCTTTATTCATTTTCATCTTCTATGTTTTTCTCATTTTGGAAATGTAATACTGTTTTTTTTTAAAGGTTCAATAATAACACATCTTAATTATCAGAATTTCATATTTTATGGTATAATTATTCTTTAGTCTTTCTATTAACATCTAACACATTTTTTCGGTTAAATATTGTGCACGAGATAAATGCCAGTGATCTGGGTCATGGAGACTGGAGAGTATAAATATTGATCTCCATTTAGTTAATGTACTGAAAGGAGTCAATAAATTAGGTTACATATATTAAATGGGAAAAATGTTTGTCATTTTAAATGACACAACTTATATTCTTTCACTCTCACAAAGAGGTGAGATCCACACATTTATTTTTTTCTGTCCATTCTCTTCCCTCCTTTATCTATATCTTTCTCTCACTTAAAATGACACAACTTTACATCCTTTAAAATGATATACATTTTTCCCATATTAAATAGGAGTCGTGCCAAAGAGTATTTAAGTAAGTACAGTTTTCATATGGACAAATTTAGATCATAACCATAATTCAGCAAAAAATAAAATAAAAAATAGATAACCAAAGAAGGGTTGCGTTGTGTTGGGGTAGGGTTACATTTCTATTAACCAATTATCAAGGTGAATTAATTATTTATATATATCCATATGATGTAATCATTTGTCAAACGAATGTAATTAACCACTTTTACAATTGAATTTATTTTTTATACAATAGCACTTGATTAGGATATATTTCCACAATAAAGAACTCTGGGAGATTATTTAAAGAATACCGAATACTCCAGGAACAATTTATATGCAGTGTGATGCTTATCAATATATAACAAAAGAAAGAAAAAGAAAAAATTCACCAACATCACAAGAATGACCAGCTCTATTGTTCCGGATCCACACCTCAGGCCCACCAATTGGTCCAATCTCTTAAGCTCAATTGGTGCAATCTCTTAAGCCCACATCTAGAATCTTTAGAGAACACCCATAGCAAGTCATAAAGATTTATCATTGGGACATTCTTCTTCCTGCGCAACTGCCCTGTACACTGACAGGAGCAGCATGCCTTGTCTAAGGACTAGACATGGCTTGGAGACAGTGGAGGGAGGACCAGCAGTCTCCCCAAAGAGGACTTTCCTCTCTAAATACTCCCCTCACACATGGAGAGAAGCTTCTTCTTCCCCATTCCTCTCCTATACTGTCACTCTACCTTTGTGTAGAGCTCTCACACACACTCTCCCTTGATGCACATATATAGGAAGCTTCATTAGTGCCTTGGTCTCTACCATTGTTACTATAGACATCCCTATATCAACATACTTCACCCTTCATAAGAGACATCTATGTACCACTTTGAGTTCGCTGGCGCATGGGAAACGGCAAATTCCGATTCCCATTTCTTTACCGGAAGTCCGAAGAAAGCTAACAACTCTTTTCCTTCCCCAGTTTAACAATAACAACCTGCAAAAAATCCAAAACCAGAAGATAAGAGTGAAGAACCAAAACCCAGAAGGAATAGGAGACCAATATTTAGATCTACCCAACATATGCCCCACCACCATTGACGGACGGTCAACTAGAGCATTGAAAGCTATGGTTCATCAACTCATCATCCTCCAGCAACAATAAGAGGAAGAAGAACGCCAAACTTGTCAGTCATGGCATGAAGTCAATCTAAACGCCAACCTGCCAGTCTCCAAACTCCAACCTGCCCGTCTCCAAAGGCCAAACGTCTCCAAATACCAAACTTGCCCGATCTCCGAACGCCAAACCTTCTGTCTCAACACAAACCTCCATCGGCCTTCAGAAAAGACAAACAGCATTAACCCATCACTCGCCAGCTTATTACCGGTCGGCAAACTTCTCAAGAAAATAACCATGATCTAGAAACAACATGCCACACCGCCGAGTGACCAACAGGTCAAATAGCACGAACAACCACCGAGTCGATACCTGTCGGGCCTGAATATCTCAAACTCTTCCGGTCCAACTCTCCCAAAGTGTTTCTCGTCCGGTCTAGATATCTCAGAAGCTTTTACTTTTCCACCTTAAATATTCAAATGGGCGACCAGACTCGGAACCCCCCACATGCAGGGGCGGACCTACACGAGGGGCTAGGGTGGGCCTCCGCCCCCTTTAAAATATGAAAATATGTTCTACTATATGATATGTTTGGCCACCGCGGGTTGAATCGGTTGATGAACATCCCTGTCAATTAGTGATGTATATTCACTCTACTTATCAAATTTGTCTAGAATTTGATTTTATATTGATTGACTATCTAATTTTCTTTTTATAATCATTAAAAATTTGTACAGATTGTCATATCAGAACTCAGTAGAAGAGTATTTAAGTTTTGACTTTGTTGGCAAAGAAAAGAGATCAATAATAGTTATCAATTATTAGTTGGGACCAAATGCTAAAGATAAATAACACATTAATTAATTTACTATGTCTTCTGCTAAATAACAGCTAAGTGAGAAAATAAGATTCCGAAGAAATCAAAGAAAATACAATTATAACACCAGAAGGCACGAAGGTAAACAATAAAAAATTGATCTTACAAACAAAATATAGGGTCTTAAGACTAGTTCCTCATTGAAATAGAAGATGTATTGAACCATTGTCACCGGAAGCAAAAAATTGTCATTCCAACCAAAAAATTATGTAATTTTATTAGGTTTTTCTTAATAGGTATTTTTGTATTAGTAATGTGATCATCCAACCAAAACTGGCATTGTCTTTTAATAATAGTAATATAAATTTTCGCCCCCCGCCATATAATTTTCTGGGTCCGCCACTGCCCACATGGCGACCATGGCCCGGTCAACCAACCAATCTTTCTCCTCGTCCTACTCACCGCCAAGGCATTTCCCCCTTTCGCCTCTCATCTGGCCGTTCTCGTACTAGCAGGTGCATCCGCCTTTCCGGTGAACCCATCAACCGCCGAGGGTAGCGTTCGAAGCCAAAACCGGATGTTCATATCTCAAACATATCATAACAACCATCAATTAGACCCAAACCAAATCGCCCAAATAAAACTGGGATGGTTGACCCAATCGGTTGATTTTTTTTATTTTTTTTTAAGGTGGATAATTTTGATAAAATTTTTCACTTTTGTTATAAGAGTAAATACCCTATTTGGTCCTCAACAAATTTCACGAAGTCCGCTTTAGTCCTCGACAAATGGACTCATTTTAGTCCTTTTGGGGACTAATATGAGTCTTTTTTAAATTTGCGAGGGACCTCGATTTCAACTAAATGGGTCTATTTTGAATTTTTTAGGGACCACCATGGACCTTTTTATTTTCTAAGGACTAAAGAGGGCATTGTGAAATTTGTTGAGGACCAAAAAGGATATTTATTCTTGTTATAAAAAATCTCAATCAATTTATTTTTTTTGCTATTTTATTTCTTTTTTCACTTTAGAGCTGTTGACATGTCAACTCATCGATCATGAAATGAAATGAGTTGAAATTTCAACTCACTTTTAAAAGCTAGGTGGGACAGATTAATCCATTTGATGGTGGGTTAAAAATGGGACGAAACATGTCACGTGTATTTTGAGCTCTACAAATAACTTACTTTTAGTAACTTTATATAATCTGCACTTTGAAAATGGATAAGTCAAATCATTAATAAATGAAATGCCTTTATTATCTAAAAAATATTGCAACTATGAATAATATATAGTTCACATGAGAGTTTCCTAAATCGAAATCTAAATTCAATATCTAATATTTGTCAAAGATATATATGATTCAGGATGCAAACTTCAAAAAAAAATTGTCAATTTGTTGCTAGTGTTCTCATGTGGATGTGTATAAAATCTCTAAGATGTTAGATAAGCAAGAGATTAATTTTCATCAAGCTCAGCATGGTCATAGCTACCTTTTTCTTTTATTTATTTATCAATATGCATGAGTATTATAACCACAAATATATTTTATCCTATCACGTCTTTGATTTTCTTTAAGCATAGCATATAGTAACTTTTAACTGTTCTAACCACAAGTGTATGTTTTCCTATGAAGAATTTGTTCACTGCAGGCACAGATACATCAACTAGCATCATAGAATGGGCACTAGCTGAAATGTTGAAAAACCCAAACATCCTAATAAGGGCACAGAAAGAGATGGAGCAAGTAATAGGCAGGCAAAGACTACTTGTTGAATCTGACCTACCTAAATTACCATACCTTCAAGCAATTTGCAAGGAGACATATCGGATGCACCCATCTACACCCCTTAGTGTTCCCAGGGTCTCAACTGAAGCATGCCAAGTTAATGGCTACTACATCCCCAAGAACACCAGGTTACTTGTCAATATATGGGCCATAGGGAGAGACACCAATGTGTGGGCCAACCCATTAGAGTTCCAGCCAGAGAGATTTTTTTGTGGAAACAATGCAAAAATTGATCCCAGTGGAGTTGATTTTGAGTTGATTCCCTTTGGAGCTGGAAGGAGGATTTGTGCAGGGTATAGAATGGCTATTGTGGTCATTGAGTACATTTTGGGCACTTTGGTGCACTCTTTTGACTGGAAGTTACCAAATGGAGTAGAGCTAAACTTGGATGAAGCATTTGGACTCACTCTGCAAAAGGCAGTGCCTCTGTCAGCTATGGTTAGCCCTCGGTTGGTCCCAGATGCTTATGTTTGATATGATGCATATAGCTATTGTCTCTATTTATATATGCTTACTTGATATGAGTTGCGTATGTTAATTATGTGAGAAATTTAGACCATTTAAACAAAGTTACAATAAGATCAAAGTATTAAGTTAGGGCTTGTAGAAGACTATGTAGAAAGTGTATTTGTAATTTTTTTATTTTTTTTTTGGTGTCCAGTGTATTTGTAATATTATTACACATTTACACACATTATAATTATTGCTTGGATTATTTTACATTCATCTCGGGCGTTGATCCCTTTCATATCTTACGACTCTAATTTTTTAATTACGTGAATCCTTTGATATAATTAAATCAATAACCAAGATTAAATGTAAAACTCTTTATTCCTGTAACATCTCCGTCTCGAGCCGGTTCAATTTACATACACATGATATAAACAGAAACAACAGAAGACTTAACTTACGAAAATACGAGCTAACTTTTTTCTTTTTCTTTTTAAATTCTCATTCGACGTAAACGAAAATCGGACAAAGTTTCCTCTATAAATCGAACAATTGCGGATTTTTCAATCCCACTCAGAATTATTTCCTGATAACAGTTTATACAGCACATCAATCCAGAAGTACCAGTCATGCAAATATAATCAGATACCCATCCATGGGTGCATGCATAACATGGCTCAGTGCCACTAATCTAACAGCATGCAGTCCAATACATAAACATAACTGAATACTACATCATCATATAACGTGCCTGAATACTCAAATGTACATGCATCAAACTGACAGACATGTACAAAACATATACAGGCCATATACAAAATAAATGATCAATGTCATGATCCATCAAAGGCGGAAATACAAAATGACATGAATATACTTCCAAAAAGTAGTAGCCTACAGCCACTCAAAATCCGATCCGTCAACTGCCTCAGCCACGTGTCGCGTCCCTGCCTAGTGAGGACTCACCGGGAATCTGGGCACCTGAAAATATGTCCCCAACGAGGGGTAAGATTACAAATCTCAATAAGCTCCAGGTTTATAGAGAATTCTCCATACCCCTGGCTCACTCCTGCATGAAAGTCAGATACAGAGTATACAAATACAACATATAACAGATATCATAACAGAACAGAGCATATATCCATATCATATCAGAGATGTGCGTCGTCATTCCCAAGGGAGGACCCCAAGCGGAAATCAACGCACATGTTCCCGAGGGAGGACCCCAAAGCGGAACCAGACATATCAGAGGCGTACACCATCAGTCCCGAGGGAGGACCTCAAAGCGGACATCCGGGTACTATACAATCAATGGCCAGAGATTGTTACAGAATCATATTACAGAAGTCATATCAGAGCAAAACATATCATGTTATCAAATAACTCTATATGAATGCATCTATACAAAGCATCTAAATAACACTCATACAGTCCAACCATAGTTCACTAACCATGGTGGAGCACTCGAGCAGGAAAAGACTCCTTAAACATAGAGCTTACCTCTTGAAGCTTTATCAATCTGCTTACTTGTGGCACAAGTTACTTTTATATCTTCAAGAGATTTCGATCCTTTTCAATCCCTAGGCACACCTAGAGAAGAATCCACAACAAAATCAATAAAATGATACTATGCCATGATTCTTACATAAGGCATACATTTTATCGTTTATTTTTGTTTCTTTATATTTTGTCAATCATATGCCAATTTACAAGTCATATACTAATTCTTTTCAAACTTACATATAGAACCCCAAAGCTAGTTAACATAAAACCACCAATTCTTAGTGGGCATTTCTCACTTTACATATACTTATCATGTCCTTAACATATCATACAAATCATAATTCCAAGTCCAATACAATTCCAACCCATTTACTTCTTTAAGGGTTGAAAATGACACATGTAGGTGTGTTCATGACTTTTCTCAAGCTATCTTTTGTTAGTGACCATTCCCTTCGTCACTATATCGGATACCCATCATCATCTCTTATTTAAATATCACTAGATACCTCATTTGTACCTATTTCATGATGAGGGCAGATTTGCACTCATAAGTGTTTATCATCTTTTCATGCTTTTATTTCCTTTATTTCTCCCTATGCATAACTCTAATTAAGTAAATAATCATTAACCAACCTCAAGACACATAAACACACATTCAAACATATTAAAGCATGATGTTCCTTGTTCTTTTTCCTCTTGGCCCGAATACTTATATATATAGGAATTATGTCTTTTTTTCTCTTTAACTTTCATCACTTTTTCCACTCCTAATTCACACCACTTATCAATGATTACATACAAGGTATTATTTTCACTTGGGTATTTCATCAAACACTTGGTCTACTCATTTTATTTTACATAGGCTGAATTATGTATTAGAGTGAGCCATCCAATTTTCTTAATTTTCAGAATAATTTTTCAACTACTACCAACAACAAGGCTCAATGAATATAATAGTCCAACTTAATTAATTAGTAAATCTAGTGTAATTAATTAATTAAACATGTTTTAGTGAGTGAAATTAAGTATAAGGCTTAATTAAATGAATCTGAGTCACTTTGGAGTTAAAAAGTGTACTCAGTGAAAATTAAGGGGTATAAATGGGTACTGGTGAAAGTACCCAAATTATAAAAATAAAAATAGTAACATTCCTAGAATAATATTCCATACTTTTGGGTAAAGTTTGGTAATTATTGGAGTTGAATAGATAGACGAACCAATACCCGCTTAAAGCTACTTAACCTATGTTAAGTGACTTAAGCTACTAAAAGAACCCATTTTCCCCCCCATCCCCCGTCGAGCTAGAAACAGAGAGAAGAAGAAGAAGAAGGAGAAATGAGGGAGAAGGAAGGGAGGAAGAGAGAGAGAGAGATCAAACCTTAACCGATTTGAGTGATTCAAAAGCCTAAATCGCTTAGAATCTCGCCCTCTTTCATAATCCTTGCTTTGTTTTGAGTGGGGAGCATTGTGGAGAGGGATATTGCCTCTCAAAAATTCGGCCATTGGAGAGATTTTGGGGTTTTGGGAAGTTCAACCTTCATGGGAGCTTGAGGAACACTCCTTGCTTGGTTGTGTGACCCTTGGTGGTAAGATTCTAACCCTTGAACCTCATGATTCCTTGAAATTTGCATGAGTTAGGGTTTATGAATAGTGTTTTAGGGATTTTGATGAAATGTTGTTAAATTAGCTATGTTCTAGGAAGAATGGAGCTTAGAGCATGTTATGGAAAATGCTAGGAATATCATTTAATCGGTGAAAATGAGCTTAGATAGCTAAATGAGTATACTTGTAAAATGGCAAGAATATGATGCTTGATATTGGATTTCTTGCATTGTTGATGAATGGTATGACTTGGTTGATTGATGATTGTGTCCTAATGATATCTAGGATTGAGACATTTGGACCGACCGTGAGTGATCAACCGTTTGAACAAGCTATGGAGCTTGGGTAGCTCATTGTAATTGGTAAGCTCATACTTGTGTTGTGTCTTGAATTGAGTAGTTGATGGTTGATTGTGAAATACTCTTGGATGCAATGTGTTGATTGCATTACACCATGTGTAGGTGTTGGTTTTGGAGTAGAGTATTGTTGACATTGGTGGTGAACAAAGGTCGAATTGAAGCTTGAGGTAAGCCTTCGGACCTTGGGTGTAATTCCCTTGATTGTTCCACCAAGCCCTAAAAGGGTAGTGGTAATTATAGTGTATATAAATGCAATGAAATAGTGTAATGCTTTGTTATATGTATGTGTATGCATTTGGTGTGGCATATGATGGTGTTTCCCTATGTGGTATGTTGCATGACGATGCGTAAATCATACTTGGTAGTTAGCTGGCCAGTAGGACTATTTGCATCTGAGTTTCCTTAGGACAGCTTGAGAGCTCGAGGGATTTCTCCTGGAGATGTATTGCACTTTGCATAGATATGTATTTACTGCATTATTATTGTTATTGCTATTACACTGATATGGAACTGTGGGGTGGAGAGATGCTCCAAGGACCCCTGGTTTACTGGATATATTCGTATATCTCACCCCGTGTTGTGGGGACCCCCTTTCAGGTAAGGATGCTGCAGGAGCCTCTGGTGGCAAGTGGCCATATCTGGATTATGCATGAAATGTGGCATTTCCTTTGAGTTTATGCATGCCTTTTGTAGTTGATATGTATAGGATTTTATTTTGAAAGCCCATGGTCATTTGTATATCTTGATTCATTGGATGAACTTAGCCTATGCTCATGCCTTTGGTTACACCTTTTGTTGATGGGAGCCAAGGGAATGATCATAGTGTTTTGTAAGCTAAGTTCTATGATTTGTAAAGGATATGTAATGTAAATGATGCCTACTTGAAATTCAATATATGCATGCTTGTTATGTAGTGAGTTGTTGAATTGGTTGGGCTGAAAATCAATTAGGTACCCTTTGTTTAAATTGGTAAACGATGAGAAAACAAAGGTCATGCTGCCCAAATTCTAGCTAAATCTCATGAGGAGAGGTTGGATGAGTGCTAGGATTTAGTTTGGGGCGTGGATAATTGGGGTTTGTAATGGGGATGCATCTTCCCCTAGGCTTGGACTTGAAAAATGTGGGAATTGGAATTCCCTGGCAGCGCGCTTAAGCGCCCAGGAGCGCGCCCAAGCGCCCTGCTGCCCCTGCGAGTGCCAATGCATTCTGCCTCCTCGCGCTGGAGCGCCCAAGTGGGGGTTGAAGCGCCCAGGATTGCGCGCTGGAGCGCCCTGGCGTGCGCTTAAGCGCCCTTTGCTGCAGAAAGTTGGGAGGCTTACTGCCCCCTCGTGTTTTAGCGCCCTGGGTGGGGCTGAAGCGCCCAGGGTTGCGCGCTTGAGCGCCCTGGTCCGCGCTTAAGCGCCCCTAGCCACTGAGGGAGGAGATGCTTCTGTCTCTGCGCGCTAAAACGTCTTAGTGGGAGCTTAAGCGCGCTTGAGCGCCCTGATGCGCGCTTAGGCGCCCATCCACACTGGAATGCCTGATGCTTACTTCCTCCGTGCGCTTAAGCGCCCAGATGGAGGCTTTAGCGCCCGATAGCACGCGCTTGGGCGCCCGGTAGCGCGCTGAAGCGCGCGGGGCCTGTGACCAACACTCTCTTGTGTTGCTTCAATTTGTCCTAACTTGGGCTACAGTGCTCCGATTTGAGCGCGGTTTGAAGCCACGCATAGCTAATGAAGAAACCTACAATATAGTAGAAGTTGTGAACTAAATAAGAAGTAAATTAATGGTTTAAAAATGGAAAATGAACATGATGTTAAGCTTAATTTATCTGTTTCCGCAAGGTAATATGGTTATGATCACGAAAATGGGTATTATAAGTTCGGTACGTTTTAAAATGAAAAATTTATCCGGATTTTAATTGAACCCATGTGATTGTAACTGCGCTTAATATCATAATGTGATGTTAACAAACCGGTTCTAGAACGGGGTGTTACAATGAACAACTTCTACAACAAAAATACTCATTCAAATATCCTTTACAAATCTCCATGAAACTATGAAACTTCAAGAAAAAAAAGAAACTAAATAATATCTTGAAATTTAATCAACCAAATTCAAGTTTCACACCTTGAATGAGCTTTCCAAGACCTAGAGACCATTTCCCATCATTCAAACCTTGAAAAACCTCCATTTTTGTCGCTGTGAACAGTAACAGGGCGCATGGAGGAGAGGAGAAATCAGCCACAAGGCAGCCCCATTTGATGGTCTAAAACTAAGGTTAGGTTACTCACTTCCTAAGCTTTCTTTTTTGTGTAGAGAGATTAACCTAAAAGTGGCTAACAATGGAGCTTCATGCTTGCCCAAGAAGAGAAGAAGTCACGTGGGAGAGAGAGAGAGGAAAAGAGGTGACCATATATCTTAAGTGAGAATGTGTTTTAAATTTGTTCTATTGGGCTTTTTAACTTACTAATACTATTGATTTGTATTTTAACTCACTTTGACCCAACTAATTTAATTTAATAATATTAACTTGGATCCTAAATGACTTTTTGGCATAAATTGAATTTTCTCATTTTGGAGCTTTACCGGTAATTTAACAGTAGTATAATTTACCGGTAAAAATCACTATTCACACATTTTCTCAAAATTTGCTAGATTATACAAAATTTCATTCTGAATTTATATTTGACGTCAGAATTGTCAAATTATGTCTCTAAAATCATTTTACTAATTTAAGCTCTACCGGTTAATTCACAAGACTACAAATTCTCCGACAGAACGTACTGTTCATAACCTAGTCATGATTACAGTCAAAATACTCGAAATCACTCACTGAATCTAATTATCGCATTTAAATCCTTAAATTAAATCTCTAATTAAGATTTACCATTTAGGGTCATTATAATTCCTACACAAGTGTAAGAATAACATACCCCTTATAATTATGTGATTGATTGATTATATTACACTTCTTGTTTTAAGTCAAATCCACATTCAATCTAAATATATTAATTTTCTTGTATTAAAAAAAATAATAAATAAATATATTACTTCTCTGTTTTTCCTTAAAATTGGCCACTAAGTTCTCTTTTCGTCTTCTGCCTTGTACATTCATGAGTTAAATTATATAAGATTCTACATTTTATTCCTTTTGAAATTGCTCATCCTAATCAATATGAATTTCGATTCTAGATCAATTTTTGAAAGAACAGAATAAAAACCTTAAGAGCTTCTGCTTATAAAAATGAGGTAACTAGAGTTAACTTCATTAATATGCAAACTAGGGTTGGTATAAGCTGAATTCAGAATCAATTTGTGCTCACTGAAAACGCAACTCCAAGAAATACATATCAAGTTCCCTGTCAGCATGATCGCCATAAGTCAGTAAAAAAATATTAAACCTAATAATTCACAAACTATTATACCTAGTATTAAGAAAGAATCAGTACATATATAAACAAAGACCCATTTTTTTGATTCCTAATTAAGTGAGCAGCAATATCAATACATTACTTGTTACAATATTTCACAGGAAAGGAAAAGGAAAAGAAAAAAATAAAAATGTTAACCAACCAAATACCTATTGTATCTTCACATTTCTCCAAGGTTAGTTTATGTTCATTTTCCCCCCTTTTTTTTCTTTAAGTGTTTTGTTTCCACCTTTGACCTACTCTTCACCTTTTTCCCCTCCGAACCAACAAAGCAGTAACGATGCAATGCTGTCCATGATCATTCTTCACCCATCAGCTTCTCCACCGAAGAAAACACAGGGCTGAAATAGATTAACCCTTTTAAGTATTGTCCCTCCACTATTGCAAAGCAAAGGAATCACGCCTCTTCTTAGTATGAGCTTCTGGATTTCCTTTTCTCATCATTGCCGCAAACTCATCATAGTTAATGCGACCATCCTGCACAAACATGACCATTTTGCTCATAATTACTAACCATATATATATAAACATCTCCTTGTTCTTGCACTTTTATAAGGAGGCCGTCTCCTATATTTAAACCCGTGTGTGTGTGTGTGTATATATATATATATATATATATATATGTTTGCATGCATGCAGCAAAATAAGTTTCCACTAGAATTAACAGCACAGTTAATTAAGCATAGATCTACTTACGTTATCTCCATCAACTTCTTGAAGGATTTCTTTGATGTCCCTGCCATCATGCATGTTATATTCATGGAGAGCTTGCTCTAGTTCTTCAGTGGTGATGAACCTATTTTATGTGGCAAAAAAATGAGATTAGAACTTTAATTTTACAACACCCCAAGTAAGTTACATAGGAGTGGCATGCATATATGTTCAATCTAGTTGATATTTTTACCCGCTATTATCTTTATCGAAGTACTGGAAGGCAGTGTACAGATGTTCTTCTCTGTTCATTCGGTTCATGTGCATTGTTGCTGTGATGAACTCGTCATAATCTATGATGCCATTGCCGTCAGCATCAGCCTGAGAAGAATGAGAAAATTATGTGTAAATAATCCTATGATCTTGAAGTACTAGTGGGGCTTTGGTTTTTGTTCCATGAAAAATGGGGGAGAAGGATAACTCACAGCTTCCATTAATTGCTTAACTTCTTGTTCTGTAAGCTTTGTCCCCTGTTTTGAAAGCCCTTGCTTGAGTTCTTCAATTGTAATGGTTCCACTGTTGTCAGTGTCCATACCCTTGAACATTTCCTTCAACCCCATGATTTCTTCTTCAGATAAACAACCGGCAATGACCTATTCATTTATAAATTTTAATGTTAGGTTGCTTTGTTCATACACTATCTAACATGCAGTATGGAGCAAGAGAAATATGCCAAGTAACAAAAATAGTTGGCAATAATCTTGATAGCATTTCATGAACAAGAGCTAGAATTGATAAAAAAAGTTATCTAAAAGGTATCAATAGAAAAATCTTCACAACAAATAACCCAAAAGTACAGTACCCTTAGAGCAACTTTCTTGAATTGGTTCATTGCTCTGAACTGTTTGAGTCTATTCAGGACAGCATTGTCAAGAGGTCTATCTGGTGCTTCTCCGTCCTCCTTGATCCAAGGATGATCTGTTTTTAACATAACAAGTTCATTAATTATTATAATTGATTTCAGTAGTAATTCAAGCAGTTTTTAAGAAAAAAGAATTGAAAGTGAAGCAAAAACAGTAAAGAATATGCGTACTCAAAACTTCGTATGCTGTCAATCTTTGTTTGGGATCTGAATTCAACATTTTCCTTACAAGATCTTTAGCTGCAGGTGAAATTGAAGGCCATGGATCGCTTGTAAAGTCAATGTGACCCCTTAGGATGGCATTGAATATACCATGTTCAGATTCTGTCAAACCAATTCCTTATTTCAGTTTCAAGCTATGCATATTTATATACCATAAATTTTAGAAAAATGTTATTTTTTCTAAGCTTTACATATATAATCATTTCTCCTTGGTCTTCAAAACAATGTTCAGCACAAAGTGGTTCCTTTGAAAATGAGAAGATGAAATATAAACCTGCCCAAAATGGAGGAGAACCACATAGAAGAATGTATAGCATTACACCAACACTCCATATATCAACTTCTGGCCCATATCTCCTCTTCAAGACTTCGGGTGCAATGTAATATGCACTACCAACAATGTCTTTGAACATATCTCCTGTCAAAATTATAAATTTGCTATTAAAATATGCTTCATGTAGCATATGAAGAACCAAGATTCTGTTATCTTCCTAACATTTTCCTTTTACAAGCATAATAATTATTTTCTTCATCACAGAGCTTAAAATATAGGTATATTTTTCAATCTCCAAGATTCTAATATTTGAAGAAATGATTGACGCAAAATCATATTTTCACCTCACTTTTAACTAGTTTAAAATAAATATCTTTCAGTGGAAATCTCAAAACAAGTACACTATTAGAATCTGGCGTTAAAGTTTTGAGTTTTATTAATCTCAGTTAAGAACACGAGATGCGGTTTCAGAAAAAAAACCCAGATTATATAGTTTTTATTAGTCCAATGCTAATTAAATATTTTCTACCCCATAAATAAAAAAAATAAAAAAGTATTATCTCTCTCATGCAAATGAACTCTCTTGTTACAATTAATGGAGAGAATAAAGATTAAAAAAAAAGGTGAAGAAGAAAAGGGTTGACAAAGAATTAGAAAACCTTGCTTGTAAAAAACGGATAGACCAAAATCTGTGGCCTTGAGGGGTGCATTTTCATCCTTATTCAACAAGAGGAAATTCTCGGGCTTAAGATCTCTATGAATGACACCCATAGAATGAAAAGTGTGAACAATCTGCACAATGGTTCTTAACAAAGAAGCTGCAGCACGTTCTGTGTAAAGTCCGGTTGCAATGATACGATCGAAGAGTTCACCACCAGCACACAACTCCATAACCAAATGAACGGATTGTTTATCCTCATAGACACCTTTGAGTTCCACAATGTTAGGTTGACCCGTGAGGTGGTGCATGATTTGCACCTCCCTTCTAACGTCTTCTATATCTTCCTTGTGAACAAGCTTTCTCTTGGCAATGGTTTTGCATGCAAACTTTTGGCCTGTGACCTTGTGTGTGCACAAATGGGTGACACCAAACTGTCCTCTCCCTAGCTCCTTCCCCATGGTGTATGTGGCTCTCACGTCTTCCATTGGTTTTCCAAGGACAGGCCCAATGGGGGCTGTTTTTGTGGGTTTTGATGATGATTGTGATGGTGGTGGTGAGGGTGATGAGGTTGGTGGCTTGGAGGTTGTTGGTGGGGTGGTGGCAGGGTGGTTGTTGTTGTTGTTGGGAGTTTCATGTTTGCTGCTTTGTTGGTTGGTTTCTCCCTTGTTGGTGGTGGCGGCAGCATTGTGCTCTGCCGCCGGGGCATCGGCAGCTTTACCTTGAGAGCAACAGTTGCCCATGGTGGAAGGGAGGGAGGAGAAGCTAAAATGTGAAAATGATCAAGGAAAGAGAAAGATCAAGAGAGAGAGAGAGAGAGAGATATAAGATGGGAATGGCAAAGGTGGTTAATATTGGGTTTTGGGGGTTGAAAGATAGATTGTTTTGAGAGAGGGAGAACTAAAAGACAGTGCTACATAGGAAATATAAAAATAAAAGTTTATAAATAAAAAATTTAATGAAAAAATATTCAAGGGTGTCAAAATGGTTAGTTTAGTTGATTCACAGCTTGGAATGTTAATGAAATTAGAGGAAGGCATTGATAGTGAGAGAGAGATTGTAGGAGGGTTAGAGGGTGCATATTGAAAGAGTCTTTGGCGTGTCTATTACGTGGTAAGCTGCGTAGGGTTTATTCAGACAAGGGTGAAGAGAATTTCTCGGACGGGGAAATAAAACGGGCATTTGTATGTTACAAAGGTTTAAACTTTAAAGTGTGAGTTTTAACGTTGTCTGTCAAAGATATGTTGTCGTTACTAGTATTACTTACAATAAGTAACACAACTATGAGTCCTCCTCTTTTTTTAGGTTAATAAAAACAGTAACCAAGGATATTCGGATAAACATCCTTATATATTTTAAAGCATAATATTTCTCTTAAGTTGCATTTCAGAGAAATATTTTTCCACACTCACAGACAATTATGGGACCCATCAAGAGAGAAAAAAAAAATAGCTTAATTATCAATGTGACTATGTGAGTGTAGGAAAATATATATCTGTTATGCAACTTTGAGAGAAATATTATCCATATTTTAACTATCTCTTGACTAGTCGTCTGTATGCTTGTAAAATCAGTCTTTCGCCAATCAAACTCTTTCTGAAGAACAATACCAAAAAAAAAAAAAAAAACTCTTTCCAAAGAAATATAAAAGGTGACACTATGGATGTTTGGTACAGGAGAAATTTTTTTTTAGCCGGGAATCTCAATTTTCAAAAATATGATTTTTACATTCAGTTTATGATAATATCCGTAAATTTAAAATTCAGAAAAATTCAGTTTCCCGAGATTCTTCAAGAATCCTGCGTACCAAACGCCAGGGTGTAAATGATGCGGGCAATATATGTCACGGATCTACAATTTGGGGCTATTTAAACCATTTGTCCTTTAATTAATTGAAAATGACAATTTTGCCTGCCTTTCAAAACATATTATCTATCTGCTTCTATTTGACCGTTGACCCAATTATGTACTCGAGTATATTATGCAAAAAAAATAGATACTCGAGTATAGCATGCGAATACTCGGGTATCGTTCATATTCTGAGAAATAATTTGAATTATGTACCTGAGTATCACTATGGATACTCTCGTATCTGTAACACTTCGTGTATACCCGGATTGTTATCATATTACAGTATTAAGTGCAGCTCAATTAAATGCGGAAGCTAACTTTTTCTTTTCAATTATGACGTCATTATTATTAACCAAGTTGATTATTTAATCCTTTTTCAAAAACATTGCCTGTATGTAAATTGCAATAAAATAACTAACTGAATCACCTCATATATAAATGCGTATCTAATCACAGATCTACAACACGTAGTCCGGACAGAATCCTGATACATTATACAACACCAAACCAAAACAACATATCATAGTCAATGTGGCATGGACAACCCCATACTCATCAAATAAGGCAACAAAGCACAACAAAGTCTCAGCTCAAATAACAATATAATGACAATAAAACAGGTCAGCATCCAGGCATAACAGTATAAACAACAAGCATATTGTAACACCCCGTGTATACCCGGTTTGTTAACATATCATCGTATTAAGCTGCGCTTAGTTAAAAATGCGGAATATCTTTTTCTTTTCAATTATGACGTCATTATACTTAGCCAAGTTGATTACTTAATCAATTTCATAAAATATCGTCTGTATGTAAATTGCAAATAAACATCTATTTAAAATACCTCAAAATATAGATAAAGTAAGTATCTAAAATCACGGATCTACAACACGTAGTCCCGACAATATCCTGATACATTATTACAACTCCAAATAAAACAAGACATAATCAAGTCTAAGTGGCATGGACAATCTCCATGCTCACCAAATCAACATCATAGCAAACAGAGTCTTAACAGATAAATTCATAAACTGAAGCTAAATGCATAAGACAGTAAATAGGATCCAACATTCAATCATAACAACATATCAGCATAAACATGTAACATCTATCAGTTAAGCTCTGGCCTCCTGCCACTAGAGGTCTCAACCCCCGCATTACCTGAACCTGAAATAAGCATTCCCCAAACGTGGGGTGAGATTTCTAAACCAGAAATCTTAGTAAGACAAGGGATCCTCAAGGATCTTTCACCCCAAGCTCACTTATATGTGCAATATAAGTTCAAAAGCAGTAATTTAATATAATTTCCAAAACTATGTAGTGCAACAGATATTCATGCCATGTGTGTTATAACTATTCTACTGGCCAGAGAAATGTAGGTATACGTCTATCACCTACATGTAGTACAAGGAACACCACTTGCACCTCACCCACAGCCTCACCATATTGTATGTACTACATACTCAGGCTTACCGTATACGTGGAACACCACATACATATCATAAGGCACTAGCATATAACAGCTCAACAGCATTTCCAAAATATCAAAAGCATGTAACACAGCATGCATATAACCATACCCCCATGTGACATGGTGGAACCACAACATGGCTAAACCAAGGACATGAAAGCTTACCTTGCAAGCTAGCTATCCCAGCCAAGAGTCCTCACAGCTCAACGTCCACAAACAGTACAATCACAATCTGTTTGGACCAATAATTATATCAATATATAACTCTACAAGCATAAAATATAAAGACAACACCTTTCCTTTTACGTTTTACGTCTTAAGGCTTCACACAAAGCCACAAGCCCTTAAACACTTGATTCTGACTTAGTTTGATAATTACAGAAGTCCAACTTCCTCAATCTAGGGTCCACAAACCCCCAATAGCCTACTGTATAAACAATGCAGCTACTGTTCTTCGAAATCCCAGAATATCCGGATATTCGTCGGGGGCATATCCGGATATCTCTCTTCCAATATCTAGATATTCATATCCGGATATTCAGATCCCCATATCCGGATATCAATATCCGGATACCCATATCCGGATATCAATATCCGGATATTCACAACAAAATATCCGGATATTTCACGACAGAACCCAGTATCTGCATTTCGCGAAAATCCAAACCAAAGGTCCAACTTTTACGGATTACATAAGCTTAAACATGCATTTCTAGGTGTGTTTAATGTTACCCACCCTTAGTTATCAACTTAGCTCATTACATGCATCAAGGTTCCATTTTTTAAGCATTAAACTCAAGCACAAAAGTGGTGAAGCTTACCAACAACTCAAAACAGTGGGAAGAATGCTCTTGGAGCTCACTAAACTGACTCCACAGTTCTGACTTGGTCCCAAAATGAAAATGACACACCAAGGTTGGTTCTTTCTCCACAAAGTTCACACCTTGAAGCTCAAAAAGCCAACTTCAAGAGTCCCACAACCCAAACTCACAAGGTCAGCCCACTCTCCTCAAACTCAGAAGCTCAAACTCAACAATGGAGCACCCAACAACCTTACAAGACCAACTCCCACTCAACAATGGTGTTTAAGTGAAGGTTTCATGAAGAAAAGGTGCAGACTTGGAAGGTTTTCAAGCAAGGAGACCAAGGTTGAAGAAGGCAGCAGCTGACCCTTCAGCCACTCACGTAGGAGGCACAAAAATAACCTAGGATCATGTGCCAAAGTTGAATATATAGGCGGTTTAAGTCACTAACACACAGTATTAACTTTAATTGCTATGCTTAGCATTTTAATCCCAAACTCAGGACTCTTAACCTACTCAATTTTCGGTACGCGCTTTTCATAGCCAGTATCAGTTTCTGGCACTAGTTCTCATTATTTTAAGTAGAAACTCGTTTTACATGTCCTATATAATATTCTAAGAATAATCATGCACTCATTATAATTTTCCGGGATACTTTTTTGGTACGCATTTATACTGACTAGCAGAACCGGTATCTGCGCTTTTCGTCTGAAAAGCGACTTTCAGCCTTATTAACTACTTCCTATAATTATTTAAGCCTCATAATAATTATCAGGGTCAATTATGGAATTATTTTCTAATTTCACATATTTAATTAATTAATTTCCTTAATTAACGGTGCAGGTTCTTACATTCACCCCATCTTTTTAGGATTTTGTCCTCAAAATCAGAAACATACCTGTCTCGAAACTCAGGGTACTGCCGGAGAAGCTCGTCCTCACGCTCCCAAGTACACTCCTCAGGAGTCCTCCCAGTCCACTGCACTTTGACCATCAGAATGATCTTGCTCCTCAGCTGCTTCTCGCCACGATCGAGAATCTTGAGTGGTCCGACAGGAGTCTTTAGGTTCTCCCGAATTTCCACATCATCAGGTTGCACCACGTGCGAAGGATCCGATATGTACTTCCGAAGCTGAGACACGTGAAACACGTCGTGGATGTTGGCCTAGTTCGGAGGCAAGGCAAGCCGTTAGGCAACAGGTCCTACTCTACCAAGAATCTGGTATGGCCTACTATATCGCGGGCTCAGCTTCCTCACTCCGAGTGCCCGTCCAACACTGGTGACAGGTGAAAGTCTCACAAACACGTGCTCACCCTCACTGAACTCCAGCGGACGATGCTTGACATCATAGTAGCTCTTCTGGCGATTCTGCGCCTGCTTTAACTTTTCTCTGATCATCTGGATCTATTGGGTGGTATCTTGGACAAAGTCCAAGCCAAACAACTCCTTATCTCCTACCTCAGACCAGCAGGTAGGAGTTCGACACCTCCTACCATACAATAACTCGAAGGGTGCCATGCTCAGGCTAGCATGGAAACTGTTGTTGTACGAAAATCCAACCAATGGCAGGTACATATCCCATGCTGAAGCCTGCTCCAAAGTGCAAGCCCTCAACATG